AATGGTCCCGGCAGTGAAGCAAGAACTGCTTGAACGATTCGCGAACCATCCTAGAACTGAACCACGGTATAACTCGAACATCAAATTTCAGTTCGAAAACGGTCTGAAAATAATCCAACAAAAACCCGAACAGGTCCGTTTCTTCCGCGCATGCTCCTGATAGTTCTAGAACAGTAATGATAAAAGCCCGAAGAAACCTAATGTCACTCATATGTACCGTCAAATACCCCTACCGTATCCCTTGAACGTAAATGCTTGAAAATCGCCAGTCGGCAGATGTAATGCTATGCCCGTCGTACACTGATGACCCTGGATTATTGTTTCGAATTGCTATTACAATGGCAGCACGACTTGCATTTTTAAACGGCTGTGCAGCACAAAGAATTTTTAATGGTTCTCAGTTATTAGCAGCCCAAGGGCTGCAGCCGAACAGAAAAGGAGCTTCATCTATTATTCAGCCTCATGAAAAAAAAGTACACACGGAGATGAAATGAGGAGTACGTAGAAATGTAGGGACGCTGAAGGGTCATTATCTGTTTTGTTGGCGTAAGATATTTCAGGCCATCCAATTAACGGGTCTGTAAATGTGAAAAGCTGGGATGCTTTAGCTGAGTAACGGCCATGAAGTCTAAAAGCATGGGATTGTAATCCGGAAAGTCAACATGGAGGCTCAAAGTGGAGCTCTATATTGGATGGTTCTTCCAATTTAGAATATTTGTCTACGCATTTCAAATGTGAATAGATTATTTCCAATGAAGGCACATAACACTGGTGTTAGCTTAATTCAGAATTTGGCATAATCAAAAAAGTAACTGAAAGTATATATTATCTCCTCACCATGCAACATTGAGTCGGTTGTGGTATACTGCCCTCATACGCAAACTTCCAACCCACAACCACCCAGAGCACCCACTGGTACAATCCCAACACGGGTGCATCGTATAGATCGATTATGGCCCAACGTTGTTTTTGTTGAGTTTCGTGAGTAAATCACAGACCTGACACGACCCTCTGGCCGAGTCCATCACGGGTTATTAATTACGAAACTGTCCAACATAGATGTTACTGGGTGCAATCTACGCTGTATTAGTTCATTACTCACAAACCGTAAACAGTTCCATCTGGAGTGCCTTAGTGATCCCGTTTTGGGTCCTTTCCCTTTTTATCACTTACTAGATTTCTGTTTCGCAGTTTTAGACGCGAAGCGTGTACGGGGCGACACTGATAGAGTGACCAAATTTCCCAAGCATACAAGTTGACTGTCAATTTACTAATCCCATCAAAAATACAAGGAAGTTCGTAACGCTGTGTATTAGTAACAGTTTCAAGCGTTTGAAGGTCACATGTTGAGTGAGGCGATGGCTGGTTGCGCTGTTCTGGTCATACAGTCCACACATCCCACAGGCAAAATAATGTTTGTCAAATCGTAACATTTGTAGACCAACGCGTTATATTAAAAAAAATCTTCTTGCAAGCACAAATCAAACCAGAAAGTATATCTACTGAAAAGTGCAGTCCTCGGACAACAGTGGTCGGATAATGAGTACCAGATATTCGGTTCGTTAGTAGACCGGTTAGCCGGATATCCGGCCGCTGGATAGCCGACCTGATCGAAAAGGTTCGTAGGTCCATTTTCCATAAAGGGAAGAATCTTCCAGGAGTGGAGAAAGTGCGCCCCACCGAGCAAAGAGCTCAGAAAGCTTTTTAGAATTGTTTCAACGATGTGGCGGAAGAAAATAGCTTGGAGCATGGGAAATTATCGCAAAAAATGCTACTACTAGGGAACACTTAGGTCAGAATGCCATAATTATGCGAAGTGGCAGCCCCTATGCATGATGTACAGTCAATGATGAGCAATATCCTTGTAGTAGGGTATTCCACTAGAAAGTGTCATTCATAAACCAGAATTCTCCATTAGTATATTTTAATTACTAGTTCAGTGAGAATGGCGGACGTTCTATTTACAGTTTGATCTGATTTAAAAGAGGATACTTTTTTTCTCTGTGATTTACTTTACTTCGTTTTATCTCTCGTATGTTTTTTTTATTGATTTTTGTTTTATTTGATGTAGAGTGTGATAAATTGTAACCGAATAGGTCGGATACCGGGTAGTGACTGAATATGTATTTTCCTACTCCAAATGGGCTGGCGATACTTCAGAGGACGCAACAGTGGAATTCAAATGGAGAATTGTTTTAAAATCCAGTGCATGAGTGAAAGAACCAGCCTTTATGCCGGCCACATGCGCTGCAGATAAATTACCCTAGCACCATAAATCTATAATAAATTCAGGTGCAAGAGCCGAACTCCCAACTTAAGCTGTACAAGAAGCAATAGCAGCTATGCAGGAAGAAATATTTATTCTTTGAAAGTAAATCTCTCAGAATATATTTCGGCTGTAAAACTACTAAGTTTGCCCGTTGCTCTCCGGTACATATATCAGAAGGAGGAAATTCGGGAAAGTTGGAAATTTATTAAATCCTCTATAAACGACAAGTTGAAAATTAATACGTCATATTTCTTAAATAATGGCTAAGAACATTTTCTTAGGAATCCAGCACAGCGTGAGTAGCACAACTAAACTGCCTGCCAGAAGTACTGACTGGGGTTGGCCACCTTTTTGATATGCAATGCATTTTTAAGGAACAAAACAAATTATTTATACACTCGAACTTCTGTCATGTAGAGGTCATGAAAGCTTGTTACTATTTTTAACTAATCCTGTTAGTAGGATCATCTCTTAATTCAATATCAAAATATTGAAGGCACCGGACAAACTCCGCATTTCCTATATAAACGGCTTGACATAAGCGGCTAAGAGCAAAATTTAAATGGAAATGGAAATACGATCCCCCCTGGTGGAAAGGTCAAGTTATTTAACTCTTGAAGCCCTACTATTCCCCCTGTCCCTTGTGCGTATTGCGATGTATAAATGCCGTTAATCTCTGGCTTAACGTGTACTCGATACGGCGGTAGCGGTGGCAAACGTTACTTTTGGGGGAGCCGCATTGATTAAGCTTTCATTTGATAGCTTTGCGTATGCGAGTCGGGATTAATATTACGTATTGTTATGTAGATGACGCAGGATCTGATTCAAATTGGGGTGGTTGTATACGGTGATTCGAGTACCGTTGGTATCATTCCTATAGAAAAAAATGCAGTACCCCTCACCGCATACTGTCCCAAATTTGGCACACGTGGACTATTTTATTTTCTAAGTCCCCCAATAGTCTAAGACCTTAACTTAAATTATTCCATAACTGGCTCGCTCGCTTCTCTATTTCCAAGCACGCATTTTACGAATTGCGTCAGATTTCGTTTACGTGTTACTACGTTTGCTTATAAAGTTGTGGTGGCGATAGAATGTTAAAAAATCAAAATGTCATGCAACTAAAATTATCCACGTCCTAGAAAGCATTAGTAATTGTGACTTTTGTAAAGTTATATCCCTCAACTCATACACTTGTCAATTTATCGTCATTTGTTTTCTTGTGTCTTAATCGGAACAACTTTTTTAGATGGATATAAAACGATTTTATGGTACTAAAACTGTTGAGATTCCAAACTTAGGTGGCATTGAAAATGAAAATTTGTGAGATGATGATTTTTACCGGAAAAGAACATTTTCTCAAGTTCTGGTGGAAGATACCAGCGAAGGGGAACAGCTTGGTAGAGAGCGACAACTGGATTAAAAAAAATGAAAAATCCTTTTGAAGAAACACCAGCCCTAGAAATTCGATAATGTATGATATCTTCTTGAGTGGTATGAAGATCATCAGAGATGCAGATTTCCTGAAGCAGGAATGTAAGGGAAAAACACAAGTTACGTGTGATAAATGTAATGTTAGATTATGTTTGAACAAAGATCAAAATTGCTTTCGCATCTGGAGTAACTAAATATACATATCTTGAAAATTGCATATATTTGTTGTATTTTTCCATGTATTTTTAACGATTTATAATAACTATGGTTTCAGTACATTTTTTCGTTTTGATTCAACTATTGTAATTTGTGCCAAATTTGCACATGTCAAAAAGGCCATTTGTTCAAAAAAGGGCATCGATCATTTTTTCTATATTTTTCTAGTTACTTTCGAAATATGAACTATCACATATATTTTTTTATCAAAAACAAAGAAGTCATGCAGTGTGGAGATAAAGAACAATTTCAAGAGTATAAGAATGATTTTTTTGAATTTGGTACTTAGGTAAATGCACGTACCAAATTTTAGCTCATTCCAGTTCAGGGTTTTGAAGATATTAAAAAAATGATTTTTATTTTTAAACTTCAGCCCGTATATTCTTAATGAAGCCCTCGAGGAAGAAATATTACATAGACGACCCCCCTTAAAATGCGGTTCTCTGTATGATGTTTCATTTTTTTGGTCGCGACCAGTATATGGTCTACTCGCCATTGAATAAACTGGTAATATACCTTTCGTTCTTTCGACGACAGAAGGTCAACCATGGATGGCTTTTTCGGGCTATTTGGCAACACCTTTGCATGATGTAGGCTTGGTCTCAGGTGTGACAACGAAAGCAACTATTCAGAGTATAGGTACAGTAGTGACCCGCCTAACAGTGCTGAGAAACAGTTCCAACGGACAGCTTGCTGTTTTTACTCTTGCAGTGGTCCATTCGGGTAATAGATGGCATATTGTGCTACCGTACCTTACACTCTGGATTCTGGATAGTTGCTTAGTTTTCTTTCGCTGTCCTACCTGAGACCAGACATACACCTAGCTGGGGAGTTGCCAATAGCATGAAACACCTGTCGTTGGAGACACAAAATCTATATTACTAGTTTAAGCTCGATTGAGTTGGGATTCATGAACTTAGTTCAATTTTGATGCGTCTTTTGACTGTTTGTGTCTAGCATTGTGCGGTTGCCGGCAATATTTTATGTTTAAAGCTGAAAATCAATTAAATGTTGTACCGCCGTATATAATTAAAGGTATAAGCAAAAAGCCAATAAAGTAATAGATAGTTTATTAAAATATATAAGATACAAATCAACAAAAATAAAATATTAAACTAAAAACGAGCTCCTCTCATTATTACAAAACTTATCTTAAACCTTAAAATTATGGGATTATGAGATAACGTGTAATTCGTGCTCGTGCATGGTGATCTTGAACCGGGAAACTAAATCTCAGATCCTGCTTTCGATTCCGACCCTGATGTATAGGAGCATGATGAAGGCGATGTAGTAGAAGTGTTATCATTGTCAACAGTTCGCATTATACTAGCGTATTCTAAGGTTCTTGGCGATGACTGGAGACTTTGTATTTTTGCTTGCTGTTGTTGTGACGTTGTCTCAGTATTATTACCCGTTGTGATTTTGGTTGACTCATTGATACCTGGTGCCTTTCTTCTGTGCATAACTTTCCAGTTATGGGCAATGTAGCATAGTCTTCCTGCTCTGTTAGTCTTAAGTTTATGTCGCTTCTTATCATGTACAAATGAGAACGTGGAGACGGATCTATCCACTGAGGCAGATGTTGAGGGCACACTTAAAATTCTTATTGCAACCTTTCCTAAGACAGTATTTTGATAAAGGTTTTCCACCATAACAAAGCACTTATGCTTTCATTTTCAGCAGTCTTCCAAACAAACTCCTTTCTCCAAATTCCCTCTCGAGATCTGTACATAGCAAGTGCTACCATAAGATTTTGATCATCAATGCTATTTATCTTTCGTCCGATTTGAATATTCTTTCACAACTGTCAATTTGTTGTGCTATCATTATTAATCCTTGACTTCTGGGATCCAGGATACAAGCTGCCAAATGAATAGGCTTTAAGGCATGTAACTTTCTGTCTTCAAATTTCTGCTTCTGTGGAAGACTTCAAGGCCTGAGGCAATAAGTCCTCCAGTTTTTTTCCTATTTCAAAGAATGCAGACCACACTTCGTAAATACTATTGTAGTCACCCTCCAAATCCAGTGCACAACTGGTTGCAAAAGGCTACGGAGGTTCTCCAAATGTGACCAAAACTGGTATTCAAGTAAAGTCTGTTTATGCTTTTTGGTCAACGTTTTTGGTGGCGTCTTGAATTATTGCTGTCGCACCGCGCACCGGCGGCAGCCCCGACGTACTCGTATTGTATTGGTCCTGTGGGAGAGAGCTCGGACTCAGCCAATAAAAAGTGGGCAAGGTTGCCAATAATGTTGCCATAATTGTGGAAATATTCCCACATTTCCGGCAATATTGCCGCTTTAGAAATTCCAAAATTTTGACAACTTAAACAGACCTTGACAACTTTCTGGGAATGTTCCTAATATTTGAATATTGCCATTTGGCAATATTGCCGTCGGCACATCGCTATTTGTGTCTTAGGTTTGCAGGATTGTAACAAAATTTTGGAACTAGAAAATAGAATGATCGCTGTCTTGAACTTTCATTGAGTTGCTGCCCAACTAACAATTATCACTCCTATTAGAGTTGCAAGAATGGTTATACAGTATTCCTTACACAGCATTGTATACTGTAAGAATATTGGCAAAACCCTCTTAGAACAGCTATACAAGCGGAATGGGCACACCTAATAGGATACTTCAGTCATTTAAGAGGTTGTACAAGGGCTGCAGGTAACAGTTATACAACAAAAGTGTAAGCCTCTTGCAGCCGCTATAGGACATTTTCGTCAGTGCAAGATTCAGTTTTTGTCAACTATCCAACTATTCTGTTACGTGATTCTACTTTACTGGAACCAAACTATTTCTTATGTATAGTACAGACGAAGTTAAGAATATATAACTAACACATTACAGTCATCATTCATGAGCTTCAACGTAAGGTCAATTCAGTCTGGTTTTCTAACTTTGAAGGAGTATGTTGTTGACTGTGCTGTCGATGTCCTGGGTCTCAGTGAGACTTGGCTAACCCCAGATATTGATTCCTCCTCAGTATTTATCAACGACTTCAATGTCGTTAGAGCAGATCGAAATAGCAGAGGCGGGGGCGTCGCGTTTTATGTGAGAAATGGTATTGCCTTCAAAATATTGCACTCTAATATCACCGCAGTATTGGAAGAACTTTGGATCTCTGTAAAAGTTAATCAACGCAAATATTGTCTAGCTATAGTCTACCGTCCACCATCGGCAAACGTGCTTGACTGTTTTCATCAATTAACTGAGTCTTTAACCAACCTTTCACTCGATAATGATTACGCAGTTGTCATGGGCGACTTTAATATTAATGTTTTAGTGAACGACGGCCGATCCGAGATGCTGAACTGTTTTCTTGAGTCTTTTGATCTGTCTCAGTTAGTCAAAGAGCCCACACGTATAACTTCCAATAGCCAGACAGCTATAGACTTGCTCATGGTTAGCTCTGCTGATATAATAAGTGGTTATGAAGTTGTTGACGTAGATGGAATATCTGACCATCTAGCCCTAATATTTTATGTAGATGCATCGGAGATAAGCAACCTATGTAAACTGAGGACATATCGTGATTACTCTACCTTTAGCCTAGACAATTTCTACCATGATTTACTTTTAATAAACTGGGATTTTATATATACGTTGAGAGATGTGGATCAAATGATTGACTTCCTGAGCTCTAATATCTTGTGCACCTTCAACTTGCATGCTCCTGTCAGAAACATTCGAGTTACCAAGCCACCAGCTCCTTGGCGAACATTCAACATAAAACTCATGATGCGAACAAAAAGTGACGCATATAAAAAATTTAAACGTACAGGAACGATTGCTGCCTGGGAATTCTATAAGAAAATCAGAAATTATGTTTCTAGCGCTATTAGGCGAGAGAAAAAAGACTACCTCGATTATGTTATGAGACATAAAAATTCGAAGACTACATGGAATATACTTAGATCTTTGAATATCGTTAAACATAACTCCATAAGTCTACCTCCACATCTTCAGGATCTCGATTCATTAAATAGTGCTTTTTTAAACGTACCTCAAACAACCAAATCATTAACTCAATTGAACCTTTTAGACAAATATGAAAACGTCAAGAATAGTGGTACTTTTCTGTTCACGACAGTTTCCCCTGCCACTGTAGAGAAATTTATTGATCGCATCAAAAGTCATGCTAAAGGCTCAGATGGCATCACAATTGATATGATCCGTATAATACATAAGCATTTGCTCAAGTATATTACCTTCATTATTAACTTTTGTATAACAAATAATCTTTATCCCTCTTCCTGGAAGAATGCTCTTGTTCTCCCTCTGCCTAAATCTAATTATCCTTCAAGTTTTTCTGATCTTCGTCCTATAAGCATTTTACCAAGTTTATCTAAGCTTTTGGAAATGGCTCTACATGAGCAGCTGCACACATTTGTTTGTCAAAATAATTTACTGACCACCTCCCAATCTGGCTTCAGACCATTACATAGCACCACCACTGCGCTCCTGTCTATATCGGATAATATTTATAGCGCGGTTGATCAAGGAAAGCTGTCCTGCTTAGTTCTTCTTGATTTTAGCAAGGCCTTCGATACGGTTGACCCAAATATTCTCTGTAAAAAGCTTAGATACTTTGGCCTGTCATCATCGGCTTGCACGCTGATTAAGAGCTTTTTAACTGATCGCTCACAGTCTGTCATATATGAAAACAATATATCAACTTCTTTATTCAGGAATTTTGGTGTCCCTCAAGGATCTATTTTGAGTCCCCTTTTATTTGCTCTTTATATATGTGATTTTCATGAAACCGCCAGCAACTCAATCGTTCATCATTACGCCGATGATACCCAACTTTATAACTGCTTCGATCCTGATGAATATATGCTTGGCCAACATCAAATAAATCAAGACCTGCAGTCTATTTTTGACATATCTAGTGCTCACAATCTAAAACTAAATCCTGGCAAATCATGCTGCATTTTATTTGGGCCCAAAAAGAATCGTGAAATAAATCAATATCGCATTAATATTATGGTGAATAATGAAGACATATCCTTCGTAAACGAATGCAAAAACCTTGGTATCTGGTTTGACTTCAAGCTACGCTTCACTAAACATGTTAACCAACTATGCAATGCGTCCTATAATGTGCTTCGTCAGTTATATCCGAGTCGAAGTGTCCTGTCGACACAGCTCAAGCTTAAACTCTGCGAGTCCCTTATCCTGTCAAAATTATCTTACGGTGACTCTGTTTATGGACCTGCTCTTTTACAACGTGATGCCGAGCGGATTCAGATGATACAAAACTCATGCATCAGATTTTCTTATGGAATCCGTAAATTTGATCATATTAGTAGCGCTTTTGACCAATCGGGATGGTTTAAGATGAACAAATTGAGGAAACTGCATTGCCTATCTCTGGTACATAAGACCCTTATCCTTAAAGCGCCATATTATCTTTATACAAAACTAAGCCTCCTCTGCCAGTACGATCAAAGATCCTCTAGGAATAAACTCATCTTACTTATCCCGCGGCATTCGACAGCATTGTTCACACGCAGTTTCTCGTACTGGGCACCCAAACTATATAACTGCTTATCAAGTGAGTATAAAGAATATAGCCTAAGCAATTTTAAAAAAAGGTTAAAGATGAGTTTAAAGCAGTCGGATGGCTAAAATTTTACTTTATGCATATCCACAGGTAATTGATTGTTTCCTTTCTCTGATAAGTGTTATATTCTAAGTTTTTTTTTTCTCTCTCTCTCTATAGTTTGTGTCAATGTTTTCCAGGTCGGGTTGAAAAACAGCATAAGCTGACACTCCACCTTTTCGTCACTGTTCCTTTTAAACCAATTATTTTGTAATCGTGTGACGAATAAAGGCCATTTATTATTATTATTATTATTATCTTGTTTACTTACATATCGGCCATTGTGAATTTCATACACAGGTATATGCTACACTGTGATATAGGGCTATTGAGTTACTTGCGCAGCAAATTTTATTGTGATTATCGTGCAAAGTAGTTACGCAATTTCTACGGGATTCGAATTTGATTCATTTTTAATAATGATCAAAAGTATGTCTAGATTTCTAAGATGGAAAACTGAACTTATCTGCGTTAAATCTTCCACAAATCCTATATTTAGACACAATTACACTAATGTTTATCACTTTATATCTCTAATTTCGAACTGAAACATAATTATTTAATATTAAATAGAGGAATAAATGTTTGCCCAATATGGCGGGTGGTTGTGTATAATCATGGCATCGTCCATATTGTCTTTAGCTTATTAGAATATTTTGGTGTTGCCTGCAGGTGTTATACAACAATTTGACAAATGTCTGAAATGAAATACCGACAGAGTCGAATGATTTACCCAGAATTTGTACCAGATCTATATATTCTGTTTGAACAGTTGATAAAACCTTTTGAACCAAAAAGCATGCGTTGTTTGTCTTAAAACATTGGTTATGGCATTTTAACAAAAATATGACAGCAGAAAGTTAGGTTATGGTGAATTTGTATATATTTAGCATATGTACAGCCTTTAGCAGTTACTATACAACAGTAGTATAAGTGCTTCCGTTGGAAGCAGTTTGTTGGCTAATGTAGTAAATTGCATAGCAAAACAAGGTACGGGTTGGTTTTATAAACGTTACCATGGATGCCACAACACAACCATTT